TACATGCGATGCTACTACTTACTCTCTCGCAGATATAATAACTTTCAAACGTTCGGATAAGTTGCTCTGTACATTAAGCTTTTGCTAACACTAATACATTCGCATGTAATAGTATAACCGCGTCAAGCTGTTGTATCGAGTTATAGCCAAGAAAGATTCCGGCAACAGTATAGTAGTGCGAAGATTTGAAATTGAATCTAGAGCATCAGATGACTGTAAGAACATTAGATGACCACAGAACTGTCCATTTGTTTAACATTAGTCATACTTGCAGGTAAACTAAGACTTTCCTATTAGTTTCCCCGAACTCTTTTCATTCTTTTTTAACCATTCCCACTTTCGGAATCGTGTCGGTGACACGATTCTAGCAGGCGTGCTGGGCGCTGGTGTCTAAACGTCCTTCGATTTCAAAACTAATGGCAACGATAACGATTCTCAACTGGATGAATTAAAAGCGTTGCATTAGCAATAGCTTTCTTGTATTGATTGAGAGCTTCGTCGCATTTGGGAATGTAACTGATTTGCTTTTCGTCTTTGTTAAAGGCACTTTTCATGTTCGCATTTCAAGAACTTCAAATGTTAGTTTCATTTGGATAGATACTAAGCCTGGACAAAAATCGATAAAGTAGCTTTCACTTTTTTATAGCCCATATATGCCAGGACTTTTTTTTGCGTACAAATAGTGATGTGAAAATCTTTACAAGGCCTCCTCTGATCTCTACTTTTCTTGGGAACTATTTATACCGTTATATATGATATGAGCTTAAAAGCGATTCGAAAGGGGTCAGTGGTTCCGTTACGAAATTAAAAGTGTGGAACAAAGTTTTTGATGTTAATTACGAATTATATATAGATTTTCTTTCCACTGTCTATATCATCTCGCTACATGCAAAATGTAAAATGTGGGTAACATAAAAAATGTTTGTACAAACAAGGACACTTATGGTCTTGAAGTTGTAGACTAATGCAAAAATGAATAAAAAAGTTATTGTAATGAACAAGCAAGTCTTTAGCACATTGCAAAACTTTAAACGAATTTTCCTCGAGAAACTTCAACTTAATGTTCTTTTTTGAGAAAATATTCGTCGAGAAAAGGAAACTAAAGAAAAGAATGCTGGTATAATATTTCGTCACTGTGGAGTCCGTCAGTCGGCAATAACGGTAGACTTCCCCTTATTCTAAACGCAACGCTAACAAGCAAAGTCTACAGGTCTAGAGGGGCCCTTTAAACTGCTCGTTGAAACCGTACAACACAAAGGCAAGCATGCTACTAATGCAACCCTGTGAAAAGAAGTAATATTTAGTTAATCAAGAGCAGACTCAACCTGATGCCTGATGCTACACCAGTGCATTACCTACCTATCTTTGCGACCAACAAGCGGACCACTCTATACGATACAGGATGATATCCGGTTAGATCCTGGCTGCAGAATACAATGCATCTTTCTTACAATATTTAGAAGTGTCTCGTTTAGTCTATTAAGGTAATGGAAAGAAAGTAAGAAAATCGGTGCATGTATCTTACTACTGGCCTTTACTTCAGATTACCCTGAATAAGCCTTTTACCTGTGCGGGATGAGTCTTCCATCAGGATAAGGAAGTTACGAGCATAAGCACGGCACTTGTATATGCCGTTAACTCTCCAGATATAACGGCCATGGAAGAATTCCTGGGATCAATCTCTCGCCACATTCTTACATGTTCTGTATATCTCAAACGCACATTTGAAACCGATGAATATACCTACCTTATCTTTGTGTAACCATATATCAACATATTTCCGCACTTCACCGGCACGAAGCACTTAGGGCTAAAAACATCCGCGCACTCTAAGCAGGAGCAGATGCCGTAGCTATAGGCAATGGCAAAAGAATCGTCGATACGCACATTATTCAGAATGACAATGACAGCGGAAGGACTACTAGTGTCAATGAGCCAGCGATTTTTCATTAACAATCCTCTAATCTTGTCCCGGAGGGACATTGTTCCTAATTTAGTGAAAACCGCTGCCAAGTTCTCATGTACATAGGTCCAGCACAAAAATTGCTTAATAACTGCGGTGGCAATCACGCTGGATTATGAGCTGAGTCATCCTAGTTTCTAGTCACTGCGCACACAACCATTCTGTTATAAATTTTTTTTTTTCTTGTTTTTTAACCAAATCGGCTTGTTCGAAACTTTTAAATTTTAACTTTTTTCTAAATTATTCGCAACTCTAGTAATGCAATGTATGTTAAAGATTTTAAAAGAGCTGCTAATGCCCCAACAAAAAAAAAAAAAAACGAGAAAGAGCGTCCAACTCAACGGACATTTTGAAAGTAGCTGGAGAAAATAACATCAATAAAATATTTACCTTGAATAAAGCGACTAGTCTACCCATCTAGTCTATCTACACTATCTATTAAGAAATAATCCTAGAAATAAATTATGATAATAATAATAATAATAATAGCAATTGAATTATCCCTTCAATATTATAGAACGTTTAAGCTTCGATTTCAAATTTTTTCATTATATTATAAAATCAGGCAAATCGGCCCCAGGGAAGTGAGAAACCGTATGTAATTTAACCGAAAAGTGTAAATATCACCTTTTTTGCGTTGAAACATTGGATGACTTGAAAAAGCAAAAAAAAGAGCTAAAACAAGTAAGACCATTATAATCGGCCAAAGCTGACCTTTGAATACCCTACACAACATCGTCTAATACAAATGTTATTTTTATTACAGAACACAAAAATTATGTGTTGTTTCTTTATAAAGGCACATTTTTCATATGCGTATTTATGGGTAAGCGGGCCCAAAACGTAACCTAACGTAGTACAAGTTTAATTCTTAAATAGGACAGAATCCAAAAAATAGGCCGACACGGTCAAAACTTGTCATAGTTAATTTTTTTATATTAATTACTATAATGGTATAATTTTTGCCGTATGAACTTCAGTTTTCGTTATATGAGAGGGAGTTCAAAAATTACCGCAGCCGGTCCAAAGTTTTTAAACCGGTTTAGAATGCCGAAATATAACTACTTAGCAATTTTTGCCGAGAAATTTTGAAAATTGCAATAGGGCGTTAAATGGGGATGGTGGAAAAAGTGGACCGATCTGAATCATTTGCAACAGCTTTCGTCCTTGGGTGGAAACATGTGCTTGTATCAAATTTCATCAAAATATTTAAAAAATTGCGAACTGTAACTTAAACAGAAATTTATATGGATAGACATCAGACGGACATACGGACGGACAGGCTTAGATCAATTCAGATTATGATTCTGAATCGATCGGTATAATAAAAGATGGGTCTACCTTAAGCCCTTCTGCGTGTTACATACGACCGCACTAATTTAATATACCCTGTACCACAAGTGACGTAGGGTACAAAAACAAGTATATATCGAAAATCAATTTAACAAGTATAATAATATAAAATTATCTATTAAATATGTAAATTTTTTACGTTTCGTGCTCGATACTGAAAATGAGATAACTGACCAATTAATAATAAAATATGTTTCACTTAATAGCGTTACTTATATATAAATTTGAATTTGAAAAAATTATACACTCATCGTAATATAGTTGGTAATCAAAATTTCCATAACATTTCCATTCCTTTAGTTGGGCACTAATTCGAAAAGGATGCCCTGAAGGATGAAATGTGAAACAAAAATGTAACTTATACATATTTGCGAACAGTAACTGCTTGATCTATTGAAAAGTATATTAATGAGGTGCAATTAATCGTGATTATAAACTAATTTGCGGCAATTTTTTCATCTAAAATTCGGCAGTGAAAAGGGGGCATCAATAGCAGAACAGAAGTCTCACAAATTATAAATATTGTGTGATCAGTGATTGACAGTCATGTCTGCTTGTGTTTTTCTCTGCCTGTCCGTTAAAAGCACGTTTAAAATCTCATCACTTTATTTGGAAGATAAATACAACAATTTTTCTTTATCACTCTCTTCAGGTTAAGTTCAAAACGCGAAAAAATCCATTGTGTCGCCTATAGCAAGCAAAAAAACTCGTATTTTTCTTAATCCACGACCTCAACATTTTCCAGATATCAGTTTTAATCAGTTTACAGTTTTTCATTCTCATTCAATTGACCGCAAGATATGTCCCTAACTATTAAGAAATCATGAAAAAGTATTATGCAAATATGGTTTCATAATTTTTGTATAAAGATGTTGCGAATTGTATAAAAATATGATTCTTCATTACGTATGAATCAATCTCTGCTCAATCTTGCTGTCGCACGCATATACATGTATAAGGCACATGCATGTATGCATGACATTTGCCTTTAAACGAAATATAGGATATACTCTTATCACAATTTATTAAGAACTTTTCTTGTTTCAAAGCAAACCAGTGGTAAGTATGAAAAGATTGATCCAAGCTGAATGTAAATTGTCTTTATCTATATATATATATATATATATATATATATATATATATATGTATGTGATGTAAAATGTAAATACGACGTAAACCGAAGATGTCTTTCTTGTTTGTTTGTTAACTTTGGTCCCCTAATCGTATTAAGTGTTTGAGTGATGCTACCAAATCTACCAATACAAAGAAAAAAAGCAAAAAAAAAAGCACAAAAAAGAAAAAAACAATAAGAACTGGCTTGTCCAGACACTTAACTACATACGCCAACTAGCAGCTAGCAGCTAACGGCAACAAAAACGCCGGCGACAGTGATGACTACGAAGATGATCATGATGAAAATGATGAGTTCGTTATATTAGTCGGATTGTATGAAGGTTTGATAGCTGCAACGTATAATGCTGCAGTGACGAATACTGTTATAAGCGCTTTAAAAGAGCTGAAGCGTACATACTTATTGATCTTCAATCGGTCAATAAAAAAAGGCGTATGTTTTATCTATTACGTTATGTCTGCAAGGCAACTTCTGTGCTCCTAGTATATATAGACAATCGAAACGCTTTAAATGTTTAGTTGGAAACCCACTCTCGAGCCCAGAAGCTTCATAGAATAAAAAAACGGCTTAAGGAATTAATTCATTTCTTTCAATTCTTTTACATTTTGAATTAGTTAACGGATAACGATTATTCATACATATATGTATATATATATATATATTTTGATATATACATATATATATATATAAATATATATAACGATTATTCATATATAGATAGATATGCATATATATGCATATATATCTATCTATATATAAGGGCGCAGAGAATCGTCGTATTTTATTTTAACTTAGAAAGCGATTGTTAAAGGATTTTTGTTCTAACCGAGAATCGTGCAAGGATTACGAGTAAACTTTTAATGCTAACGCCAACAGAACAGTGAATAGAAATTGTGTGCGCAAATGGTAAAAAGATTAGTAAATATAATAGAAATTATAATTAAAAAAGAGTGATTATCAAAATAAAACGCATGCAGGCGTTGGAAAAAAGATAACAAAAAAAAAAAAAGAAAAGAAAAGGAAAAGGAGCTTGAAAGGACATTATACGAAATTAAAGATTACATTTCATTATAATTTAATATTTTATTTTTTTATTTAAAACATTTAATATATATATATATATATATATATATATAGATAGGTATACATATATATACGTGCATGCATATGCAAATATTTATATAAATATTTGTTATTATGTATGCTGCATTGCAATATAGTTTTATGTGCTTGTTGCTGCTGTGTAAAAAAATGTTGACATTTAAGCGAGAAAATCAAGCAAACAAATAAACAAACGCTCGTTTCTTTTAAATTATTGATTTAATAATTTACTTGAGAATGTACACTTATGTACGCGACTCTTTTGTTTTTCTTTTTGATGCGCGATTTTTCTGTCTAAAACTGATTATAGATAATTTGCATTGCGTTATTAAATGCATGCAAATGTTGTAATCTAGGTGCTCGAAGCTTTTGCTATTTGAAACAAGAAAGAAGACTCTTATTTGGCCTCGGTTGAAACTTTTAACGCTCATTACTAGTTACATACATGCATCCATACATACATACATACATACATACATACATACATACATACATACATACATAT